TTGCTCAGAACGTTGGCGTAGCTCAAAACGCTGACGCAAAGCATGAACGCATGTTTATGTGATCCAACATCTTGAGATAAGCTTAAAATCTCAGAAGTGTGATGGGAAATAGATTCTATCTTGCGTAGTTGCTATTTTTTTTATTACAGTATTTCTGTGACTGGTGAATCAGTAACATTGCAGGAGTTTCTACGTGTCGTATTGCGTATAAAAGGTGATGCTGATTGTGGAAATATGGAGGCTAACTCCAGGCTCCCAAGCGTTCTACGATTGTTGAAGGTTAGGAAAAGTTCTTCAGAATAAGGAATCTTTTTTCCAGATTCTGCCTGAAAGCATCCTTTTTCAGATTTGGGGAGAAGCATTTCCGCACATTTTTTCTAGGAGTGATTCAATATACAAACTCTTGAACATAATCGGCTCTGATTATTCAAAAGCAGGTAGCTTGTTTGTCCTTTTATCTGTTTTCCAGTGCACACAAGGAGGGTTTTTTTCTTCTTTCGTGTTTTGTTTATCTGATTATTCTGTATTATTCGTGAAATGTTCAGTGGAGGTCGGGCTTCAAGTTCTATACCATGTCACTTTGCAGTCCAGTTTGAAGATAAAAGAGCAAGAATGGTGTGATGCTGCTGTATCTGTAAGTCCGATTTGGAGTTGTATGAAAATTCCTGCGTGTTTAGTCTAGTTGGCTGCGAATGGCATGAGGCGGGATGGGTTTGGCGCCGTGCCAATCCGTTCTCCTGTTGTTGAATCGGACAAATGACAAGACAGCATCATATCATTCGTATCACTCGTTTTGTACCAGCTGTTGTCGCACCCGCTTCAGCAACTGGCAGAGAAAGGATGGGCGCCGTGGCACACTCATACTGCCTGACACACTCATTCATGCGCAGCGAACTGCATTATAGTTGAATCCTGTATGGCGTTCTACGTATGCGAAGTTTTCGAGCCACGTTAAGAACTGAGAGGCTATCAAAAAGTGAGGATTTTCTGTGGTGCGGCGGAACATGCGACGACAAGAAAAACAGTATCGGTCTAGGTAATACGAATCCTGCATATGCTCTAGTTCGTTGTGTGTCAGGCAGTACGAGTGTACCACGGCGCCTACCCGTCTTGGTGAAAACGAGTGATACGAACGACCTGATACAGTCTTTTCAATTGCTCATTTCAAGAGGTGGTGGAGAACGGGTTAGGCGTCGCTCCAAACTCGTCTCGCCTGAAACGCCTCTATGTCCGCAGCGAACCAGATTAAATGAGTGTCATCGTTTTTTCCTTTTTTTTCAAAAATCTTTTACATAGGGCCAACATAACATAGCCACGAATATGACCCATTTCGATTGCACAACTTTTCGAAGTTTTCTTTCCCTTTCTTTTCTTGTTAACGTTAGTGTCATTAGCTGCTCGTGTGCAGTGACTGAACTAGCCCTGAGGACAAAATCCTAGCCAAATCGAAAAACTTTGATTAAAATCTGGCCAGAATTTTGCAGTTGGGGCAGCGACGGGTAAATAGTGACAGTATCATTAATAGTAAACAGATAGATTACTCCATGTGTCCAATCTTTTCAGCAAGTTTGGGATGTACTTATTAGTGAGAGTGACGGATTCGGCCGGTGCTGCAAGTTAGCTGTTCGCGTATTATGTCGGCTCCTTGGTAGAGAGGAGTGCACTGCTCGTTTCAACAACGTCTTTACGGTATGTCAATCGCACATCAAAACTCTTAATGCACGACCGGTAACATATCACTAAAGCAGTGGTAGTTTTGAAAGCACAAAGCTTTACAAAAATTTATATGGAAACCCATACTTCATTTGCTGTACCTTTAGTTACTCGAAAATTAGTGCTGATTATCAGCCCATAGTCATTCGTTTAGGAAATCGAGGAGCGTGTGTCCATGGATAATCCAAGCGCATGCATTAACGCGCTACAAGTGATCTCCGAATTCCACCGAAATTTGCCCAAGGAATTTGGTACTCGCGTGAAAACTCTTATAGCTGAGTTCGTCGTTCCAGGGGTAATCCATCTGTACTTACTTTGCTTCAACGGTGGTAATAATGTTTCTCTTTGTAGCTCATTCTGAGTCCCATTTCTGAGGAAGTAGAAGATTGTGCAACGACTGATCCGGCGGTCCCGTTGGAGGATCAACCTGTTTCAAGGTTTTGTCTCCCAAAGGTTGGAAATTTTTACGTTTAAAAGCTGCATTTTATAGGATTGGGCAGATGTGTTTTATGGTCGTTACAGGTTTATGGTATGAAATTGTTGGCTCGCTATCTGTTCACGTGTAGTGGTGAAGTTGAAGACGACCCATTGGCTTTGAAAACATTTAAAATGTTCGTCGCGTTCATTCAAGCTGCTGGTGATTTGCATGATCCGGATAAGAATATCTCGTAAGCGTATTACACATTTATTTTCTTGGCCTTCCGTTATCATTCAGTTGCAGTGAGTTTCAGAAAAACTGAGAAAGCCTGGCTACGCGCTGTTGCTGGAACTTCACTACTGAAGCTTTGCTACATTCAGAAATACTCACAGATGATAGATGTTGAGATGTTCAGCACTCTTGCCAATCTGATGATTGTGAGAATGTTATTTTTCTTTTGTTTTTCTCAGGCTCAAAAACAGTACTGTCATTCATAGGACAACGCCGACTGTGTTCGCTCTTATTTTGTGAAGCGCCTGAACAAAGGAATTCTGAGGAACAGGTGCGAGTGTCTAGTTGCCTACATGCTATCGATATTGCATAGTCCTTTTTAAGGCTCACAGTTGAATACTTGGCTTTTTTCTCATTGGTTGATTTGCTGAATCCGACCAACGACGAGGAAGAATCAGCCATCAGATCGTTTGTATTCGATATACACAGCTAAACTGTAAATGAGATTTTATTAATTGTTAAGGTATCGCGATCAGTGTCGTACCTTTCTCGTTTCGGCAGTAAATCGACGTCGACGTCTCATTCAATCTTCAGGATTTTCCCCAAGTAAGTTTGTTAAAGACAGTTCCCACATCAGGTAGCACGCGAAATGCCTCTGTGCAGTTGACATCGTTGTCCGCATTCGCAGAGAATATACCACTTTCGTCACTCGAAACGGCGAGATAAAGAAGCTAGAGACGCGTGATTATTGCAACCATTGCAACCACGATTACTTTCACTCTGCAAGACAACGGCTTACAAGCGAATTCCGGTGGACATAGCGTTGCCTGGAGCGTCGAAGGGTGATTTCCTGTGCTTTTGCTGGGAAGTAGTTGCACTCCTGCTATTTGGGCTTGCCGACGTCCGACAAATTCGTCCAAAGCTCACACTGCTGAAAGGGTTTTCTTTCAGGGTGTTCTCGAAACTTTTTCCGTTTTTTTTTTCTCTACTGGGGAGTTACTTGTGCTGCTGGTTCATGACTGAGCACCTACCACCACTGACATTTGATCACGCGAATCGTCTTTAAATAGTGTTCGTTCATCTCCTGATCAGTTGCGCACCTCCTTTCCTACATCCGCCAGGTCGTAAAGGACGACAGATTGCCAGAACAGGATCATCTTATTACCATTCCTTCTATAGATGGAGGCCTAGATGCTGCTGAAGAGAGAACGCCTGTTTATTCCTATACAGAGGTTGACATAATCATGTCCTCTTTCATGATCATGTTTGCTCAAAAATTGTTTTTTTTTGCGTTACATTTTCTTATTTTGGGAAAGGTCCATGCGATTGTTTCAAATGATTGTATACTTACGCCTTGGTGTCATCGTTTCTGTGCCTTTGACCCCTCAGTCGCCAGAAAATGTGATCCGTGAAGTTCATTTCGCTGCTCAAGTAGTTCCGGTGACCCACATGTGGCGATTATGTTTGCTTTACGAGAGTGGGCGGCGCGTCGAAATACATCATTTTTGATAAGTATCATCACGTATCATCACTAATGTTGCCCCTTTCGCTGCCCTCTTACTTACTTTACTCAAAACTTCGCCGTCGTGCGGGGAACGGAGGAGAAGACGGCAGGCACGTACGATTGACTATCAGAAGTAATAGGTGGTTGAAAAAGTTTTTCGTCGTTCAATTTACCATTTCACCGGATTTCGAAAAGGGTCCTGGGATCTACGATCTATAACAAAATTTAGACTGGCTCATGGCCGGCATATGGAGACTTAGAAAAAAACTGTGAGTCTTTGGATGACTTGTTCTGGCCCACCGTCTTCATCGGACCTGGCCCTAACAGATTACCATCTGTTTCTTTTGTTGTTCGACCATTTGCAGGAGAAGCAGCTCGATGAGCAACCTGAAAAATATCTCAGTAAATCTTTCCAAACAGAACCCAGGAATTCAACGAAGTGGCACAAATTACCTTGTAAATGGCAATGTTACTGTAGGTAATAATAATGGCGCCGATTTAATACCAGATTCGTCTGCGAGGATAAGAGCTCTGACTTGTAAATAGGCTGGCCCTCGCAACTCATTGTATAGGCTTCATTGCATTCGATAAGCCGCGACGATTCTGAATGGAAGTAGAATGCGTGCCGCATCCTCGCAAAGGAATTCATCGCCGCGAACGATTTTATCCTTTATCCTTTGGTGGTGGCGCCGTCGCGTGGCACCACTCAGTTATCCGAGCGCCCTAGTTTCTTGTTCGTTTCGTTTATTACTTTTGAAAACCTCTTTTTATTGCATTTTCAATCGCAATGGTAGTGTACTATTAGGTTGGCGGGAAAGTTCTGTCACATTTTTTCAAACAAGGCTTTCTTTTTATAGAGAGGCGTACAAGATCAAAATTATACAGCAATGTCATTGCGGAATCCCTGCCAGTTTTCGAGCACTTCGTGGATGCCATCGCTTCACAATGGAGGCTGGCACGACGCAATGTTGGACATCATCTCAACTTTGACTTGGGCTCAAGTCGTGGAGGTTTTCTCGGCTGTATAACGGTTAAATACGGGAGGCGACTAGCAGTCAGAAAGAGCAATGTCTGGGGTACACCAGTGCAGAGGGAGAGCCATCCAGCTCTTTTGCATGAAGTACGGCTCGAACTTTTTTTGACGGGGTGTGCTGCACCAGCACGTTGAAGACGGACTGTGCCGATGGATTTTGCCCTCTGCTTGACGATTCGCTTCAGATCTCGTAGCTGCCTTGCGTACGGATTAACCGAGGAGACAGCTTCTTTATACAGTAGTTTCCCGGCCCACAGCTATCTCAAGCTGAGATCACAGGTACTCCCAAACATCACTTCGCCATTCGCACCGTAGCCTCCCGCTCTGAAGAGCCAGCGTCGTGGAAGATTGTCAGATGACTGTAGACATTGTCCTTGTGCAGCTCCATTATTTCGGCGTCGACAGCTGTCATGCTGGCGCCAGGGCGGTAGAAGAAAGAGTTTGAGGAAGCACTTGGAGGGGTCGGTGCCAAAGGTAGCGGATAACATTCTTGTTCATATTGCACGATAAGGAGAGGCAGGAGTCAAGCCAGTGATACCAATAGAAAGACCATTCTTTGATGTATAAGTGCTCATATTACCGGTTAACGCTTTTCAGAAAATTAGCAAATATTTTGGGTTCAAAAATATATGACAGAACTTTCCCGCCAACCTAATATTTTCATTGATTGTCCAATGAATGAGTAACACTACCCTGAAAAGATTTATTTTAAAAATTGGAAACACTTTGCAGTGTATGCTGCCCCTACGCACGAACTGGCGGAATATGCGATCGCTTATCATGATGGCTTCCTAGGCGCACAACGCTTGCTTACTACCCATACAGATGTGAAAAGTTTGGCCGTTTTGCAGGAGTCAGTATTGAATGGTTTTTTAAAATATCATCTTTCCTTTTTTCAATATTATTGGGTGTGATGTAAGTGATTCCTTCTTCTGTCATCGCTACTCCAAATTTGATTCCTATCTGTAAACTTTATTCCGAATAGTCCGTCCCAATCATCCTGGAAGAAGACAACCATTGGTAAAGAACGGCATCGGTGGCTCCTTCTAATTTCTCATGGCTGTATGAGCAGGGCCCGATTAGCAGATCCCCCCCGCCAACCAGCACAACTTTGACATCACTGACCGACATTCATATTAACACATTGTAGCCCATTTGACTGAGTATAAAAATTACTGGCAAACTTTTCTCAATCTTATATATCAAATAATGTGAAATATTTAATCTGTGGTTGTTACGGTACTTTATTTAGATGTTTATGGTTCGTGATGGAACCATTTATGTCGAAGAAGGAGAACACAGATTTTGAGTTCATTTATCGGATGTTGCAAGACGTGAAAGAATCGTGTGATGCACATCATGAGAAAAGGCGCAAGAATGGCGAGATAGGGCAGGCTGAGGTCGTTGGACAGAGCAAAGTGAGTATGAGCCCCTCGTTAGGGAGTGTGTTCATACTTCGCGTTTGCGTTTTGAGCTTTTTCGCGGGCTCTTGGTGGGGGGGGGGTGGTAGTCGTTGAAAAGCTGGTGAACGCAGGCGTGCGCTCAAAATGTTGTCGTACGCTTGCGTACGCTAGATCGACACCTACTTTCCCAGTCGCTCGAAACGGCCTTAGTGAGTACATGATTTGAAATCACAAATTTGATTTAGAAAATGTGGGCCTTGGCTGACTTGGGCATGCTGATGCTGACCTACAGGGGAAAGATCACTATACGACATGAGCCGCGTAAGCCGCTTCTATCCACACGATTCTTCATTCGCGATAAGAACTCTGAACATGCAGGACTGGTGAGGCTTTGGTATTTAAGTCCCATCCCTATGGGCTGAATGATGAATTCTGTAACAATTTCGGTGGATGTTCGTTTCCAGGTATGTGCTCCTCACGAACTGATCGAGGATGAGAAGGAACGAAATGGGAAGCCGCCTGCAGAACAAAAGCGACGTTTTCTGAATACGACCTCCAATGTTACATTGGCTAAGAAGGCTGCCTCCAAGAAATCGAAGTATTTCATACTACAACATTCCTTTCTGTACTTGTTCCATCGTGCACTCCGTTATTTTTCCTCATATAGGCATTTCAGGAAACTTCAGAGCGTTCGGAAGAATACAAACAAAACACGAGATCGTGGTGATGCTTCGTTTTCGCCAAAAAATAATGTAGGTTGTACTATGTTACTGCTTCAATATTATACGGTTTTTCTGCTTAAAAAGAGTTTCCGCATAAAGTTGAATCGATTGAGTGTGTGATTTTCGTAGGCCAGCACTGAGACCACCCGAAGGAGAGATGCGGACGCTGACAAAAATGTAAGCCGTGGTACCATTTCCTCACCGGAAAGCATTGTTAGTTTTGCTTGTGTATACCATTTTCACTTTAAATTCACGACTTATCAAACCATATTCACGATTTTTCAAACCAAATTCACGAATATCAAAACACGTTTGAGACTTGGTTACCCATGTCTTAGGGGACATTACTGCAATCCCCGTCCCTATAGCCACGCCCACATTTCAGCGTGGTCTCGGTTTTTCAAATTATTTTATAACTTCTGCTTTTGTGACTTTTTTTTTGCCCTTTTGTTATTTCGCACATAACTACCTGAAAAGATGTGCACATCGACACACGGACAACTCCGCCCATTTCTCAGAGAATTTGTCGCAAATTTTGACTTTTCTTAACGTTTTGCAGCGTCGTTGTTTCTACTCCCTCTCTTCATACATCGAAGGTACTCGCAGCCGCGCATTTACGCTGGCATTTTAGGCTCCGCCCCAGTGGCTACGCCCACTTTTGCGGCTTTTTGCAAGATTTTGATGTTTTCCAAATTTTTGCAGTTTTGGACTGCTACGTGAAGCCCCGCCCACTTTTGAAAAATGGTGGGAATCGGCAGGATAGTCTCTGCTTGCTAGGGTCTTGCTCGTCACTCTGAACAAAAAATCAGGCAAAGTTTATCTTTGTTCTGCGTCGTGTACACTTCATACTTCTCCGCTGTCTGTACTTCCTTCGCTCAGGCTTGATATCAGCCGACTGCCGCACAGTTGTGACCCACTTCCGATCGCCTAGGGTAGCTACGCGCTTCGAGGTGATTCTCTCTGGCGGCCTCTCGACTTTCTAGTGATGTCAGTTCTAGATGACCCACATCTGGTCTAATCCTTGAGCTAAAAAGAGCTTGTTCAGCTCATAGTGGTCGATGAAATAGCTTGAGGATAAATTTTCGGTAGCGCACTATACGCCGCTCCGTGAATGGTCGTGCCTCTTATGATTTAAAAAAAAACTTGATTTCCGAGATTTCTCTCGAATAATAAAAGAGAAAATATACTTACGTGATTCTTTTTTTTCAATTTTGCATCTCATCCTATGGATGAGAGTCTTTCTTCCTTTTTTTGAGAGCTTCACCTTGTCGTGACCGTGAACCCTTAGTTGGCCTGCTTGGCAGATGGGAAAAAGTATGCCTGTAGAGAAATATCTTAAGAACAACCATAAGCTCCATGTACCATGCTCCTTCAAGCGAAGTAAACTTTGATGATGCACTGTGAAAG